AGTTTCGGATGCGACAGAAATGAGGTTGTTTCTTGATTGTTTCTCGGGCGGGAGTTCATGGTTCGCTTCAAAACAAGGTCATTCCCCATTCCATTATGGTTCCTAGTCAAGTGTTTCTGAAGCATGTGTACTAGCAATCGCTAGTACTTTCAGTTGTGTCTCGCCCCGATCGGGGTCTCATGATATCATTGAACTATATTTATATCACCAAACATCAATGAAGCGTGTTTTAAGCTTTGTCCTTGTTACTTACACTCTGGTTCGATGGCTGTAGCGAGTATCTGACAGGTTGTAGCGCAATACCCACCGAGATGCCCGGAATGTACAACTCGACTCTGATTGATACGCGGACAGGTCAGAAGCGTGATCATTTCGTTGGGAACAGAGACAGGCCCGTATTTCCAGCTGGTCAACTATCTGGTATGTAGCTTCAGACGGTGATAACGCCTGCATGGGTAGCTCCATTAGCCTATTGAAGAAGACAGATAGCTGACGTGCTAAAGATGCAGCATTAGCGCTGCGACCCCGCGCCCTAGTTGGGGTTATTGGGTAACGAGTAACTAACAGCTCCTTATAGGCCCGGAAATATTCTATCTCCCACACCATTTCAGCGTGGAGAGAAATTACAGTGAATCATGATCAGTTGCAAGTCTCGGTGCGGTTCACCGATGGAATGTATTGCTACTACTACAACTACACATCACCCCCAGGAAGACCAAATGGGGAGGCTGGACGTGTCAATCTCACCTCCAATATATCTCTCCCGCATTCATAGGCGGGGCTTCTTCTTAGCGAATGCATCGTCTTGCTCTAGACACCAAGCTAGCTATAATTCCAGGTCATTGTGGCACCTCCCAGCCCCAGACCAGCAGCTATCATGATCGGTGGTTGGTGAGCCAGTTGTTTCTCATCCCGTTCCCCTCTTCAACCATCTGCAAGGCCGACAGCGCTACGAGCAGATGCATTAGGGTGGGTGGGTATATGTTGTCGGTTCTTATAGTATTTATATTGTCGCTACCCCTTCACTGCCCATGTCCGATATTTGTCTCACGGCTTCAAAAACTGCGCTGGCATTCCATACAGCCACCATGATGGCTCTGGATATCTCCCACATCTGGCTCGCCCTTGTCGGTATCGCAAGCTTTTACGTCCTGCGATCCATCTATCGCCTCTATTTCCATCCCTTATCTGGAATCCCCGGGCCTAAGCTTACAGCGGTTACGCATCTATATGAGTTCTACTATGATGTTATCTGCCATGGAAGGTTTCTGTTTCAGGTCGAGAAAATGCATCAGCAATATGGTAGGTACAGAGAAATCCATCCAGCTGAAGCTTGGCTAATTCCTCCCTCAGGTCCAATTGTTCGCATCAACCCCCGTGAAGTCCATATCAGCGACCCCTCCTTTTATGATGAGATCTATGCCTCCAGCACTCGCAAACGCGAAAGGGACCCTCTGGCCTACGGCGCATTTGCGCTCCCCTACTCCATGATCGGTACGATCGGCCACGAACATCACCGCTTCCGCCGCAATATCCTCAATGATTTCTTTTCCAAGCGGTCTGTCCTTGCCATATCTCCCTTCATCGAGGAGCGGGTGGAGAAGCTGATGGGGCGCTTCGAGGGGTTCTATCGCGATCAGAGTGTCGTTAATCTGAGCGATGCATATGCCGCGCTGACTTCAGATGTGATCACCTATTACTGCTATGGAAAGCGCTGGGGATTCATCGAGGATAAGGACTTCCGCAGCGACGTCCACGGAGGTAACGAAGAGAATACTGGACTTGCTCACTTCAACCGCTTTTTTCCTTTTGTGCCGGAAACCATGCGCAAGATTCCGCTGCATCTGATGGCCCTATGTCTCCCCGGCAAGGCCGGTATGCTCCAGTTCCAGGGTTCCATTCTGAGTACGATATCCGAAAACACGCACGATGCCTCCAAGGCACTGGGGAAGGACGACCGGACCATCTTCAAGAGGTTGACGGACCCCAGCTTACCAGTCGCGGAAAGAAGCCAGCGTCGCATCGAGGACGAGGTGTTCACGCTCCTTGGTGCAGGCACAGAAACGACCGCGAGTACCTTGATGATCATGACCTACTACGTGTCGCGAGACAAAAGCATCCGAGACAAGCTGCGGAGTGAACTGAAGCAGGTCCTGCCCACACCCACCAGTACCGCGACCTGGCCGGAGCTGGAGAAGCTGCCGTACTTGGTATGTCGTGAGTCTGCACGCTGACAATTCATCCTAACTGACTTGCACCTCCAGACGGCCGTTGTGAATGAATCTCTCCGATTATCCTATGGGCTGATTATGCGGCTGCCACGCGTGGCACCAACTGAAACACTAAAGTACAAGGACTATGTGCTTCCACCGGGGGTACGTTTTCTGTCACTCTGCCTTCAACACCCATCACAAGCTAACAATACTTGATAGACACCAATGAGCACTTCCACCTGGTTTGTCCATCGCGACCCCTCCCTCTTTCCCGAGCCGGATAGATTCGATCCGGAGCGCTGGATCAAGGCTGCAGAGGAAGGGGTCAATCTAACACGATACATTGTATCGTTTATGAGGGGGAGTCGAGCTTGCATTGGGATGAAGTCAGTCTGCCCTTGCCCGCATTGGGGGTATCTGCTAACCAATTTAATAGTCTGGCATACATTGAGCTCTACCTGACCATTGCGCATGTAATGCGTCGGTTCAACTTTGATGTGGAGAGCACCGGCACGGAGAGTATACGCATCACACGCGATAGGATTGTTCCTGGTACGGAGAAGGGGTTGGTGCGGGTGTATGCAAAGGTGACGGATATGGTGGAGTAGCAAACAGTGAATTAGATATGATCAAATCAGGATGGATGCAAACTAATTGACGGACAAGTGACTTTGCTGTAGTAGTTATTTGTATAGTACATCATCCTAGCAACTGATATTAAGACATCACCTTCCATAAACATTAGGAGGTATCTCACATCTACATTAGCAGAGCAACCGCACCGTCCCCATCTTACATAGCATGTATGTTAGTTATCATGCAAGCAAAGTAGACCCCAAAAAAAAAAAAAAAAGATGAAATAAAAAGCAATGAATAAATTAATCAGGTCGTGCCCGGGTTCGAACCGGGGTTGTCGGAACTTCCGAAGCACAAGAAGTACTCAAAATCCGAAGGGATAACCACTACCCCACACAACCGCATGCGGATAGTTGTCACCTGCGATTTACGGTTCATCAGGTCACTACTTCATTCCAACCTCCACTATTTTTTGCTCTTTGGAGTGAGGGATTATTCGGACACATAAATTATTAACTACATTGCGGGCAAATACTCTAACTATTTCACTGTATACTAACTATAACTTAATATACTCCATACTACACAGGGATATACTACGTATCCTACTAAGGTAGAAAGCCATTAGCAAGGAAGCAAGCAAGCAAGCAAACCAGTGGGGACTCAGACTAGACCAGACCAACAAAGACCACCTGTTCGGGATGAGCATTAATTACTTCATAAGTAACTGGGGAATGAATACACTCTGCACTGCATCTATCTACCCCTGAAATTGACCAGACATATCTCATCAGCACATGGATCCTCCCTCATTTACCCTGATCATCATCATCATCATCATCATCATCGTCATCACCAGCAGACTCAAGTAGATAAGGTACGTATTAGGTATAGCAATCTGACACTCGCAGATCGTTTCCTTAATTCCGTAACATAATTTCGCCCCTTAACAAACCATGGGATTATCACAAGGTAGGAAGAGAAAGAGGGACAGAGAGAGAAAGAGGCAAATGGCAGCGTGACAGCCCACCCACGATTGATTGGACCCTTGGGATCGGGTGGAAGCGGTCCACTTGACGACTAGTACTATAGTAACTTGGTAAGTAAGTACCAGGTGTGATGTGGGAATTGGGACCTTCAGTTGGGACTGGATCCACTGCCGAGTCTGGTTCCTGGACCTGGCTGGTGCTGGTTAAAAGGGAAAATGAAAGAATAAGAGAATAACAATAGGCATGGCGCCATCCTAATAATACTATTGTTGTATTAGTATGGTATCTTGCAAGGAACAGGAAATACTATGTAGATTAGTACTAGATAGTATCTGGTGATGGTGGTGCAATCAAGTCAATTAACCGTGACGGACGGAACTTGTCTCGGGCCGTGTGTATGTTTCAGTTTCTAGTCTATCTATTCATCTACTATCTACTTTGTATGATACACTTATTAACCGAGAACTGTTTATATAATAATATGATGATGATCAAACAAGGTATTATTATTATTATCATTATGGATATGCAGTATGCACATGGCTGGATTTGGTCTGGAGGGGTAGATAGAAAAACTCCGTAAGTCAGTACCTTTTTATTTTTGTTTGGCCTGAACTTTACTCCGATTGTTATGCAGCATTGCTGCATATATGCATGCATCTGCAGCTGTGATACTGATACATATACAAAACACAAAGTATTTTGAATCAGTAAACTGGATGGTGTGATGTGGTGGTGGTGGGATGTGGGATAATAATGGCGGGGGGAGAATTAATATGGATCGTCCCGTGGTTGAGGGCTGTTTACGTAGACTGTCTTGGTTGATCAGCAGGTGGGATTATGGTAATATGAGAATATGGCAAAAGGGGGTTTGTTGAAGAAGAAACTGAGGAAGGCAGACAGACAGAAAAGGCAGTAGAAGAGGCAATTAGGCAAGAAGAGACAGTACCAAGTAGTAAGTTGTTCATTCTGTACCTGAATATTACGGTGACTCCATTGGAAGCACCAATTGCGGCCGCCCCTTAAATATCCCGTCCCCGCCGCCCGACTTTCTTCCCCCCCAAATCTCCGTTTGCGCCATCTTACCTTTCCGTTTCATCTTCTCTCTAATTCCCTCTTCATCTTCTCTCTCTCTCTCTCTCCCTCTCTCTCTCTCTCTCTTCCTCTTTACCTCCGAATCTATCTTCCCTCTCATCCTTTATTTTAATCATACACTATCATCATGCCTGCTGGATCAGTTCTTGTCACCGGGTAAGCTTCCCATCAATGCCTTTGTCCCTCCATTACACCCGCTGACCCCGCAATTCTCCCCCAAACAGTGGAACGGGCTACATTGGCTCTTTCACCACCCTCGCTCTCCTCGAGGCTGGCTACAAGGTTGTCGTCGCTGACAACCTTTACAACTCCTCCGCTGAGGCTCTCAAGCGCATTGAGTTGATCAGCGGCAAGAAGGCCGAGTTCGCTCAGCTCGATGTCACCGACGAGGCTGGCTTCGACCGTGTCTTTGAGGCCCACCCCGACATTGACAGCGTCATCCACTTTGCTGCTCTGAAGGTGCGCTTCCCTCTACGCTTCTCTTTTCTATACTGTTACCTGCCTCTATGCGTCGATCTGCCTCTCTGAATATCTCGCGCTTCAATTGAGGTTCTAGCTGACCGGTATCCAGGCCGTCGGTGAGTCCGGTGAGAAGCCTCTGGACTACTACCACGTCAACGTCTACGGCACCATCTGCCTCCTGCGCTCCATGGTCCGCCACAATGTCACCAACATCGTCTTCTCCTCCTCCGCCACCGTCTACGGTGATGCCACTCGCTTCCCCAACATGATCCCCATCCCCGAGGAGTGCCCTCTGGGCCCCACCAACCCCTACGGTAACACCAAGTTCGCCGTCGAGACTGCCATCACCGATGTCATCAACGCTCAGCGCAACAACGCCATCAAGACCGGTAACGAGGCCGAGGCCCAGAAGTGGAACGGTGCTCTGCTCCGCTACTTCAACCCCGCCGGTGCTCACCCCTCTGGTATCATGGGTGAGGACCCCCAGGGTGTCCCCTACAACCTGCTTCCCCTCCTTGCCCAGGTGGCCACCGGCAAGCGCGAGAAGCTCCTCGTGTTCGGCGATGGTAAGTTTTTGCAGAAATATACTTCGAATTTAGCATCTAACTAACTGGCCAGACTACGCCTCCCACGACGGTACCGCCATCCGCGACTACATCCACATCCTCGACCTGGCAGATGGTCACTTGAAGGCCCTGAACTACCTCCGCGCCAACAACCCCGGAGTCCGTGCCTGGAACTTGGGTACCGGCAAGGGCAGCACTGTCTACGAGATGATCCGTGCCTTCTCGGCGGCCGTGGGCCGTGACCTCCCCTACGAGGTTGCTCCCCGCCGTGCCGGTGACGTGCTCAACCTGACCTCCAACCCCACGCGCGCCAACAACGAGCTGGGCTGGAAGGCCGAGCGCACCCTCGAGCAGGCCTGCGAGGACCTCTGGCTGTGGACCCGCAACAACCCCCAGGGTTACCGCCAACAGCCCCCGGCCGAGCTGCTGGAGAAGCTGCAGAAATAAATAATGACCCCGCATATGCTTAGAATTTCTTTTTCTTGCCAGGAAAATCGATAGAGACACGATTGGACTTGCTAATTGGATGACGAATTTCCTTTTTCCCTTGTTGTATCTAGAGAGCAGAGCTTGATGTGATGTTGATGTAACTGTGATTTCGCCATGCAATATGCAGCGATAGGATAGACCTGGATCACCGTAACTCTATCAATACAGATCAATGTGATAATGTACACCCACCCAAACACCAGAACCTAGTATACAGATAGATACTAATGATATACACCTATTTCCCCTTCCGACTCCTCCTCGACCCCGGCGTCTGCTCCTTCGCCCCAGACGACGACGACCCCGACGCCTTATTCTTCTCCATCTGCTCTGCCACCTCCTTCTCCTTATTCGCCAACGCCCTCCGCACCGCCGACTCCCTCTCCTTGACCTCAATCAACTTCTCACTAAACTCCCACAACATCTTCCCGGCCTCCTCATCCTTGACCTCCTTCCTCGCCAAATCCACCTCCTTACACTCCTTAATCATCCACCCCCCTTCCCCACGTCCATACTCCGCCTCCATCGCCGCATACAACACACTCTGCGCTCCCTGCTGCGGCGACTTCAACACCAACCACCACACCGGCCACGTCACCAGATACACCAACAGTCCCCACAGCGATCCCCCCGTCATCCACCTCCTCATCCCAGGCGTCCGACTAAACCCCGGATCCACCATAATCACCCGCGCACTGCACGGCTGGTTATCCGGCCTCTTAAACGCATTGAGATGTTTCTGGAACGATTGCGCAAACACCATCAGCGAGAGCTTGCTGAGTCCGTACAAACTGACCCCCTTCGCCGCCTTTTTAGCAGCCTTGGGCTTAGCCTTCTCCCGTTGTAACTTTCCATTCTTCATCACCACCCTCCTTCCATCCCCATTACTACCCCCACCCCCATTATCCCCCTGCTGCTGCGCAGCAGCAGCAGCAGCAGTAATAGCAGCAGCCTCCTCCACCTGCCTCAAATCCCACTTCGCCCCGATATAACTCGAACAGGTAGTAAACACGACCCTAACATCGCGATGCGCCGGCTGCGCCCTCAACGCCGGCGAAAGTATACTCAACAGATGGAAATTCGCCAGGTAATTCACCATCCATTCCTCGTCGATGCCGTCCACAGTCAGCTTCCGTTTCTGGGATACGGGCGGCGCTGCATTCCCGCACAGAATCACCATGTCCAGGCGTCGCGGGGGCACATTATCGATCCATTTCGTGGCGAAGGTGCGGATGGAGTGTAAGGAGGAGAGATCGACTTGCTCCGCGTAGATTAGTTGGTTGTTGGTGCTTCGCCGGAGGTCCTCGATGTATTCCGAGAGGAAGATGTCCGTTGCTGGGTGTTGCGTTAGGAGGATGATTTGGGCGCCCCGCGAGGCGAGCGCGGAGGTTACTTGGGCGCCGATGCCGGATGTGCCGCCCTATTTTTTTCCCAAGGGTAATATATCAGCATTGCATTGAGGGGGGATTGAGATAGGGGGAGGGATGTTACAGTAATCATAACGACTTTCGAATGCATTAACCGCTCAGAGGTATTTCTGGCACCCCCGAAGTAATATTTCAGGGCCGCGAGGATGACCGCCCAGGGGAGGAGTTTTAATATGCTCCATAGGTGCGGGATGGAATTTGTGCCTTCTGTTATTGCTGTTGTGATGATGGGGATGGGCATTTTGCCGGAGGAGGGAGGGGAGGGGTGGATGTGTTTGTTTGTTGTATGGTGAAAGGGAGATGGAGGAGGAGAACAGATATGTCTGACGGAATTAAGTCCAGACACTCCGTCCTCCGTCGGAGGTACGTACGGTACATATCTTAGCGGCCGATCTCCCGCCACTTCGAGCTGCCATTATCCCTCCTCACTTCACAATTTCACTATCTTCCTTACTTCTCACTCACTATCCTACAAAGAAAAAGAAAAAGAAAAAGGGTATGGACAATGCCACCCAACAACAACAGAGAAATAGACGACGAAGATGAAGACGAATACTTCCTCCCCCTACAAGACCAACGAGTCTTCGGCGCAGGGATCCGTCGCAAGCGCGTGCCGTTCGTGCGCTCCTCCGAACAACATCAGCAACATCTCTCTACCACCACCACCACACGGGTATCATCCTCTGAGCCAGCAACACCTTCTTCCTCTACTTCGACCGGGCAGAGTATAGCGAATAGATACCTCTCGATTGTTCTGTCGAAGTCGAAGTCGAATCCCGCTACTCCAGAACCGAGTTCGAGTTCACAACCACATAGTGAGCAGAAGGAGGAAGTTGAAGAAGAAGATGTTGAGATTTGCCCCGTGTGTAACCTTCCATATACTACTACACCTACACACGACACATCAGGAGGAATAGGAGGAGAAGGAGAAGGAAGGAGGCATATACACGAAGCTACACTCCCGCATCAACTGAGTCTCCCGCATTCGCACCCGCCGTCTCATCTTGATCGCACACGGCCCGGACTGCGGTATCTCGCGGCGTATGGCTGGGATCCGGATTCGCGGGTGGGATTGGGACCTCAAGGAAGAGAGGGCATACGGGAGCCGGTGAAGGGGAAGGTGAAGGAGGATACGGTGGGGTTGGGGGCTGTTGTTCCTGAGGTTAAGGATAAGAGTGGAGATAAAGGGGGGAGGGGGAGGGTGCAGAAGAAGAAGAAGGTGTTGAATGCGAAGGAGGTGAGGAAGGGACAGTTGGAGGAGAGGAAGAAGGGGGAGAGGTTACGGGAGTTGTTTTTCCAGGATGAGGATGTGTTGAGGTATCTTCATGGGAAGTAGGTTCTTTTTTTTTTCTTATAGATTATTGGTTTCGGGATGGGAGCGTTGGTTTGGTATATACCCAGGAGTTTGAATAAGTATTAGGGTTCTGCTGGTTTGCATGGTACATACATAGTCACTACATACACAGAAGATACTAGAGGCTAGTATTAATGTCCGCAGGAAGTGTGCTGCGGAACGAGGCTGGTTCAGTTGGAAGAATGGCCAAGGCTACCGGAAGAAGCGGTGCTTCTTTTCCTTCTTCTCTTTCTTCTCCTTCTTATCCTTCTCTTTCTCAGGCGGTGCTGCTCCGTTCGTTGCTTTGCCGTTCGGTCCCAGTGACATCGCCGCCAGCCCGGATGTCGGTGCCATCGGGTTCAGATTCACCGGAACTGGCTTCTTCACGGGCTGTGCCGGTGGCGGTGGAGCTTCCCGCTCGAAGAGATGCGCCGGCGCTGTGGGCTTGGGCCGTTCGGCGGGAATGTCGAGCCGGCGTCGGTCTACACTGAGATCGCCCACCTGGCGCAGGAACAGTCCGGGAGACAGCATATGCGATGTGGCCAGGAACACGTCCTTGCCGCACGACTGCGAGATCTCGTAGCATGTGCGTGCCTCTCCATATGTAGCACCACCTGCCATGAACACGATGATCCGCTGTTTCGGCTGCTCGCCGGTAGACCGCGTCCGTGCCCACGTCGGTTTGGCACTGCGCAGCGACGCCTGGGAAAGACTCTCTTGTTGTCCCGGCGAGTCGGCATCCGTGTGTGGCCGCGTGAACGGGAAGACCCCGGGGTCCAGCGTGCCGCGCACCAGCTCCTCCAAGATCAACTTGAGGTTCAGGTCGTAGCGCGAGAGGCTTTCCTCTTCGTCGATGGGCCCAGACGGCGGCTTCCTGGTGAACAGCGGCTGCACGGGTGGCTTATCATCCTTCAGAGGCTTCTCCACACGGGCTCCAAGTAGATCGAGATTGGCTACAATTTCACCGTCCTGCGGTGCAAGTTGCGCGTGTGCCAAGAGCTTCCGGATATCACCCGCGAGGATGCCTCCCCGGTAGATAATGTAAAGCAGCAGCAACCTCAGTCGCTCTGGCTGCTTGATCGCATCGTCGTCTAGCAATTGCACCAGCTGGGAAGCCAGGTTCTTTGCCTTCTTGTAGTTCTCGTCCATGCCGGTGGCGAAGCATTGTTCAACCGAGCTCACTTCGAGGAGCTTGTGTTTCTGGAAGTAACTCATACACTCCTGCGCCATGTTAAGGTGCAGTGTATAAGCATCTCTTCCCTTTTGGAACTCTGTCAGACCCGCCAGCATGTCCTTAATAGTGTTCACGTTCGCTTTATCATTGCTGCGGCGCCGTTAGTAAGGAAGAAAGTCCATCAAAGGTTGTCACTCACTCTTCCGCAAACTGAGGGTTGGCAGCTCGGAACTTGGCAAAATCTTCACCTAGCTTGCCGAGCACGTCCTTCATATGCATGTGGCGATACTCCACCCACACGCTGTCTTCTTCATTGATCTCCATATCCTTGACTTCCTCGTTGTGGCTTCCCTCATTGATGACAGTCTTGTAAGTTACCTTGTCGCCATCGCTAATCGGAAGCAGATCGTGCACCATGGACTGATATGTAAACTCATGGAGCAAGGGCGCGACCAAGTCCATGGACCGATCCACGATCAACAGCACTCCGCGCGGTCTGGGAGACGGGGGTGGAAAGTCGCGCTGGAATTGCGCAAACTGATCCAGCTCGTTCTGAATGAACCGCGCCAGGTGTGAACACAGTACGCTGGCCTCGTGTGTCGGGGCCCGGGGGCGGTAGTACCGGATCACTGGGTACTCTCCTAAGCTCGCACAAAGCGACACAACCTGTCCAGTTAATACCAGCTCATCGACACAGGTAGTCTAGCTCACCTTTTGCGCCAAGCCCTCCAAGTGTGCGCGGATCAAGTGATTACAACTAGGGTGGAACAACACCGGAAAGCTCCACGGGTCTCGGAAGGTAATCAGGCGCGATTCCCTGGGGAAGTAGTCGGCATTCATAATGTGAACATTGGCGATCTGGTCGCGAGCAATCTGGGAACGGTCCAATCTAGCGCGCTGTTGCGGATCGAGAACTGCGAGCGACGTCAGCACCAAGCGGCCGTTGAGGAAGCAGGTGCCCGACATGATGTCCAAACCAACCACGCTTTCCGGTATCTCTTCCTCTCAAAGTCCGCCATAATACAGTCGACAATGTGTGGGAGGGGCGAGAGGATATACAGCGCATCCATCGTCGGATTGGGGGAGCGCCGATGCTCGATCTGCTCAACATCTTGCGGGAGGCCATTAGCGCCGCACCGGGACGACGAGGAATACACAGAGGGTAACTTACTGGTGACATTGAGATTGAGAATATCATCCTCACTGACCGCATTGTCGATTAGCTTGCGACTGGTCTCGTCCACCACCAAGACCTTCCACTGTAGACAGAATGTCAGTTCTGCGGCGGGGTGAAACGAAGCGGGGGCCAAATCCACGGTAAGGAGAAGGGGAGGGGAAGCAATCGCACCTCATTACCCGCCGCATAACGGATCGTATTCAAAATAACTAGCGGGTGAATCATTAATATACGAATAGTCTATAAGTAGAAGGCAGGGAATACTCACGATCACGCTGGATGTTGAGGATTGAGGAGCTCATTGTGGCTGACCGGCAGCCCTCACGGGGGGCATAGACACTTAGACTTCACGATTGCTGGGGAGGGGAATGACGGGGGAGCGGTAGGGAGGGAACCGGAAGATAAGGCACAGCCAGAGCCAGCAATGGTGGGGGGATGTAATGGAGAACAATACTCAGGGGCAGCCGTGATGGACACCAGCGATGCGGGCAGGCTATCTTTTTGAAACGTAAGTCGGGACTCAGGATATCCCCGAGACTGGAGACTGAGACAAGAAGAGACCCTCTTTCTGCTCTTTCTCCCCAGCGGGTCAAAAGCATCATTCTTCCTGTCTAATCTCCCGATCCGCCAGGCGGTGTGACCCCTCCCCTTCCGGTTTCGGTTAGTCTGCGGCGATCGCCAGCTGCAGGCAATGAGGCACCCAGGCACCCAGGCCGCGAGAAAAAGCCGATGGCGAATGATTGCCATCCAGATAGTTAGTATTCTCGGTTTTCAACAACTATTCCCTCCCTCGCGCGCGGTTGCAGGACGATGCGGTGATTGGTCTCTGACTGGTCAGGGGTTACTTGTGTCGCTTCCTTTTGGATATCCCAAATCAGTCCCTCGTTTTTCTCCTCTCTCGTCTCCAGCAGTTAAACTACATTTCCGTTCTCCGCAGAACCCGCTCCGCAGCTTGATAGTAACGGCAATCATTCGACCTGACATTGCTCCTGGCACAGCTCGGTGGGATGCAGTCATGGAGTCGCAGAGGCAACTATTGCCTCTTCTGCACCTTCCAATCGGTGTCACGTCCCGTCAGGACATTTGTGACATCTCCGGTGCTGCAGAGATCCGTAAGGCCTTCCAAGAAACAGCGCCATCTACAAAGCCTGGAAAAGAAAAATGAGGGAGCTACGGTACATATCCATAACCCTACCCCACCACTTGTCTATTATGTTTGATTTTAAACGGCTGACTTTTGATCTACGTGTAGTCTTCCAAGAGATCTGCTCCCCCATCCTTCGCTTCAAAACGGAACACTCGACAAACGCTTGCAGCCAAAGACTTCGCGGGCGTTGTAACACACGCTTTAAGCATCTACCGACAAAATCTTACAGATAAAAATGACCCAGCTTTGGCTAATTGGGCCCGGTTTGAACGAACCATGCTGAATGCATGCAAACTAGACGAGCGAAAAAGTGTTGGTCCCTTACGCCACATCAAGGATGCGCTGCATAGATCTTACCTCCAAAACGGTGTTCGGGGTTTAATCAACGAGCTGGAGTTTCACATGTACGCAGAGGATGTCACGTCGAGATACTCAGCCCCCAACCTCGAAGCACAGAAGAAGGTGGCGGATTTGCGACGCCCGGCCGAGTGGTATCCGCAAGCGCGCGCTTTGCAACGAACGATTCATCTGCACGTGGGACCAACGAATTCGGGAAAGACGTATCACGCGCTGAAGCGTTTGGAAGCATCCAAGCGCGGCTTTTACGCTGGCCCTCTGAGGTTGCTCGCTCAGGAGGTTTTCCATCGCTTCCAAGCGAATGGAACCTCCTGCAGTCTCATCACTGGTGATGATGTCAAGATTCCGGAAGATGGAAAGCCCTCCAGAATTGTCAGCAACACCGTTGAGATGGTCAGCTTGGGAGATCAATATGAGGTCGGTGTTGTTGACGAGATCCAAATGATCGCGGACCCTCACCGTGGGTGGGCTTGGACTCGTGCCGTGCTCGGTGCGCGTGCCACGGAACTGCATCTCTGCGGTGAAGTCAGAGCTGTGCCTTTGATCAAGGAATTAGCTGCCTTGACTGGCGACAAGCTCGAGATCCATCGGTATGAGCGACTGAACCCGCTGAAGGTTCAGAACCGCAGTCTCAAAGGTGACCTGAAGAATCTCCAAAAGGGAGATTGCTTGGTTTCATTCTCTCGTGTCGGTATCCATGCCTTGAAAGCAGACATTGAAAAGAATACTGGAAAGCGGGCAGCCATCGTTTACGGAAGTCTGCCAGCTGAGATTCGGACCCAGCAAGCCAGTCTGTTCAACGACCCCGACAATGACTACGACTTTCTCGTTGCTAGTGACGCCATCGGTATGGGTCTGAACTTGTAAGTTGCCTCTACATACTGTCTATGTATCGTATCTAACTGTAGCAGGAGCTGCAAGCGCATCATTTTCGAAACGTTGATTAAACGGGTTCCCGGAGGCCTTCAGAGACTTAGTGTTCCTGAGATCAAGCAGATCGGTGGACGCGCTGGACGGTATCGGTCTGCCGCGCAACAGCAGGCAGACAGCTCCGAGGAAGACACCAACGTCGGCTATGTGACTTCTTTGGAAGATATTGATTTACCTTATATTCGCGAGGCAATGGATAGCGAACCCCCACCGCTCGTGTCGGCCGGTATCCTTCCTCCCGACTCAGTCTACCAGAAAGTTGCGGCATACTTCCCGAGCAATGTTCCGCTAGAATACTTGATCAAACGCTTGATGGTGGTCTCCCAGGTCCACCCGCTGTTTTTCCTGTGTGACCCTCGCAACCAGCTAGAGAATGCCGAGGTCATTGATACTGTCGATGGATTGCGGACGGCAGACCAGCTTACATTCATGGCCTCACCCATGCACACGAGGCTCATTGCAGGCCG